TTGTTGTGGAGAAAAGTGATTTGATTTGTAGCTAAGAAAATATGGCCATGTGGGGTAAAGTAAACTGCCTTTGCAGATCTACAAATGTTTGTAGTTTGTTTTTATTGTAAAATTGATAGAAGGGGTCAACATTCATTTGTCTCAGTGAGTTGGAGTCTCGTGGTGTGGCTAGCGAGACAGGGGTGTATTTCCATAATTTCAATATGGATTAGTCCCATGTTCGAAGCATTAGTTTTGAAGACGGAAGAAACTGTGGTACCTGAGGTCTTAGATGTGGAGGAAACCAAAAATATGGTCAATACATCATGGCTGTATCCAATAGGACTCAATATCTACCCATTGTGGAAGTCCCGAACATGACTGTAACATCACTACCTGGCTTGTATTGGCAGCCATAAAAGACGCTTGTAGATTTGGAAATCCCAGCCTACCCATTGCAATTGTGTGTATGTGGAGACTCTGCCTTTTTATTTTGCCATATATGTCTGAGGTATAAATGTATATTGTGGCGATATTATTTAAGTAAGTGTATTTGCAATGTACGGAGAAGATATTGGAGTTAATGGGGTAACATCATTTGGATTGCTGAAGTGCGACACATCCATGTCAAGAACTCTCCCTTCCAAGATTTTAGAGAAGCTGTACATTATTTCATCAATTTAACATAATTGCACTGTAGCAAATCTTTCAAATTGTTTTGTGATTTGTATTACCAAAGAATGTTAGCCAATCTGACCTCCAATCACAGTTTATTCCTGTTTGAGATGTTAAAACACTGCATTTCTTTACCCCTATCCCCAGCACCTGGAGCCTGGTCATATTGAGTTTGTAGTATGAGTGTGTACTAGACTCTTTATTTATTAGATTAGGGAGGGACATAAGCATTTGAGTAAGTGTGAGAAGAGTATCATTCACAAAAAAATACATTTTATATTCCTTATTGGCTTCCATGCACAGATTGGTCTGAATGTATTAAAACTTTCAATAGCTCCAAGGACAGAATGTTGAGAAAGAGTGAAAGGAGCCCCCTGGCTCGTGCCATTGGTGATATTGAAGGGATTAAGACAAATCCTGGATTTCGAATTTGGACCAAGGGTTCTTTATAGAGAGCCCTTGTGACAGTCAGAAATTCTCTGCATCCAAGGATATCAAAATGGATTCCTTATGTTGCCTTTCTAAACTTTGTATAAAATTTAATACTTTCTTTGTATTGTTTGAAACTTGTCTCCTCTGCACAAATCTCACCTGGTCTCCATGTATGAGATGAAGTAGGAGTGAATTAAGGCGGTTAGCATATAATTTAGCAAACATGTTGGTGTCAGTGTTTAATAACGAGAGTTAGAAATCCTGGCAATCCTGGCTTTCCTGATTTCAGCAGGGGGCCTAGGATATTGTAAAATCTTTTGTAGTATATGTTAGTGAAGACGTTTGGCCCAGGTGCCTTGTGTTGGGTAAGTGATGTGATGGCACATGTTACCTCTTTCAGTGCTACAGGAGTTTGAACTGGGAGTTGTTGTTCTTGGGTTAACTAAGGGAGATTTACTTTGCTTAGGTAGTTATCAATTTTCTCGGAAGTCGGTTGTGGAGTTTGGATGTCTTTTTTCAAATTGTACATGAAAATATATATAGAGTGACTTTCACGATGTTTTAAAGTGCCCGAATGACAATAGTAAAATTGATTGAACAATTTAATAGATTACTTCCCTTTCACTTGCACTTTGTATTTTGTTTGAAAGCACAGAACTGTCCCTGTGGAAGTCCTTAAGTGGAATGAAACGCGTTGGAAAGGAAAGGTAGTTTAAACTTTACTTGTTGATCTTTAGTCTGTGCGCTAACCATTTCCCTGCTTCATTTCCTTGAGTGTATTGGTTAGCCTTGAGTTTTTAAGTGATACCCAACTTTGTTTAAATTGTGTTCATTTTTTTTCTTATTCATTTTCAGAATTTGATCTCTCAAGGACACAAAGGGTGATATTTGGTTTTGTTTATTTAGGCTATATGGTTGTTTCTGCCAGTTTAGAATCTGCTTCTGAGAATGGCATTTGAGTCTACATGCTTGTTTTAGCAACAATTCTCTCTAAACAGGTTTATGCCCTACCCAAACCGCAGGGGGTGAGATGGTGGGAGTGTTGCTTGCTTCAAAGTAGTGTTTCATCTCTACTTCTAATTGTTGTGTGAACAAATCATTGTGCAATAGTGACTTATTGAGTCACCAGAGGCCACGATTGTTGATAGTCATAACTGTCTTTACGGGTGAAAATCATTGATGCGTGGTCTGACTACGACACAGTACTTTTTATGCAGTCAAGAATTTGGTCTACGCCATATCCTAACATGAAAAACCAATCAATATGTGAGTATGAGTTGTATACCTGTGAGTAATAGGAGTATTCTTTATTTCCGGGTGTAAGATATGCCAACTGTCATAAAAATCATGCAAAGACAACAGTTCAGTGATGGATCGGCTCTTAAGGCTTTTGAAACTAGAAGAACAGGGGTACAGTGTAATGTCTAGATTCGGGTTCATTATATGGTTAAAATCACCACAAAGAATAGTTATATCCATCTGCACTTCACCCCAATTTGAAAATAACTTTATGTAAAACATTTCTCTGTTCTGACTTGGAAGCATTCACATTTACTATTGTGTATACAGTCTGGTTCACTGTACAATCTAGGATCACTTATAGTGTAGTGTTTTTCTATGATTTGTTTTTTGTAGCAAAACTTTTTGGTGAATGAGTATAGATCCTCCCTTAGACTTTGTCTGGCAAGTCGCATTGAATAGAAATGGTTATTCCAATGGTTGCAAGGAGTGGGTTTCTTGTAGGCAGACTATGTCTGCCAACCATTTCTTTAATTTTCTGAATAGTGAATGTTTTTTAAAGGGGTGCATTAGATGTATATATTTAAATATGTGAGATATAGTAAATTGTATATTGTATGTATATGTTTGTTGTCTTAGTATCCAAGGCGCTCCTCTGATCTGCCTGCCTGATAAGGTGGCCAGGCCAGGAAAGTTGTTTTGTAATATTCCGGAGTGCCACTTTTGATTATTTTCAGGTGAGAGTTCCCAGGTTTTGTCCTCTTTCTCCGTGTGGCTTCCTGGGATATCTTTTGACCTATATGTCCAGATATCTAAATGCCTCCTACAAAAGTAAAATATTGAGGGGAATGTAAACTGGGAATTCAGGGAGTACGCCACCCACATAGCCTGAAAGAGAGATTGTTTAAAATGATTTGTAAAAGAAAATAAATATACGTCTTTGAAGATATATACCTTAAAGGATCACTATAGGGTCAGGAACACAAACATGTATTCCTGACCCTATAGTATTAACCCCACCATCTAGCCACCCTGGGCCCCTCATGCCTCGATAAATATAGCAAAACTTACCTGTATTCAAACCTGAAATTGTAGCTCTGGATGCTGTTTGAATCAGAATAGTAACCTGTCTGCTGACATCATCAGAAGTGGTAGCCTGATCCAATCACAGTGCTTCCCCATAGGATTGGCTGAGACTGACATAGAGGCAGATCAGGGGCAGAGCCAGCATGATTCAAACACAGCCCTGGCCAATCAGCATCTCCTCATAGATGTGAATTGAATCAATGAATCTCTATGAGGAAAGTTCAGTGTCTGCATGCAGAGGGAGGAGATACTGAATGTTTGGATGCATTTTAGGCAGCCGTGACCCAGGAAGGATTTCTAACAGCCATCTGAGGAGTGGCCAGTGAAGTTATCACTAGGCTGTAATGTAAACACTGCATTTTCTCTGAAAAGACAGTGTTTACAGCAAAAAGCCTGAAGGGAATGATTCTACTCACCAGAACAAATTCAATAAGCTGTAGTTGTTCTGGTGACTATAGTGTCCCTTTAATTTAGTACATTCAGAGGGTCAGTGCAGGAATAGTATACTAAGGTCAGAGCAGGAATAGCATTCTGAGGTTAGAGGGTCAGTACAGGAATAGCATTCTGAGGTTAGAGGGTCAGTGCAGGAATAGCATTCTGAGGTTAGAGGGTCAGTACAAGAACAGCATACTGAGGTCAGAGGGTCAGTGCAGTAATAGCATACTGAGGTTAGAGGGTTGTAACGGACCGTTTTGCTCACCAGAGGTTAAAAACCATTTAGGCGATATTCCCCTTTCCAGATACACCGACAGCTACTGTAAGCACCGATCTCCCGAACTGGAAACACATTAACACTGGAAATATCCGAACAGGAAAACCATACGAAAGGGTTACACTCCTGGCAGTCAGCATACAATCCAATTCCCCCAATAAAGAGACGACACTTCGTTTTGAGGGTTAAGCAGAATCTGAAGATTTATTCACACAACCTCCTTTTAAGACATTCTCCCATGCAAGGGAGGGATCCACAACAATTAGTACCCCAACCAATAGTGTACCAGTTACCTCCCACACATATCCTCCCCTTAGTGTGACACATAATCCCATTAGTCCAGACATAAATTCCCTGGGATACTGGATGTACCCCTAAACATAAGGACACCCCTTTAAATGTTACATCCCCTGGTAGCCCTGATCTGGGTGAGACACATATCCAAAAATCACCCAGATCGGACCAGGGGTTCGGGAATTATGGAGGGTTAAAGTTTTGACCGACTGCATGGCAAAAGTATCCGAAAATAGTTCCATGTATTTTGGCCCTGCAGTCGGTCACAGAAAAGGGAATGAAACACACGAATTGCCTGGGTTACAGAGCCTGGGGAGGGTTTAAACGAATTCCCTTGTTCATGGGATTCTTTCTACCAAACGGCGGGTCATTCGGTAGTTTCCACACAAATTCATGGAAGTCTGGAGGTCTCAGCAGTGTTTGCCTAGTCGAGTGTCTGATTTTAGTTCCAGACACTCGACGGCAAAACACCGCTGTTCGGGAGTTTAAGATGGCCGCCTCCACGTGTTTGTTTCCCGAATGGCGGCCATCCAGAGGACAAAGAACACATTACATAGATTGCCAATTACCCGTTTGCAACATTGTTGCAAACGGTAATTGGAGGCACACTTACTCCAGGGTGGTCTGGTTGTTCGGTAGTTTCACTCAATATAATGAATGGAGTGATTCTACCGAACAATCAGGGGAATGCTGCATATACATAACACTGTTTACCGAACACATAATATTAAATACAGCCTGAATGCAATCTGCTACACAGTCTTAAAGGGCATTATTCCTAACAGTCATAATATGTCCACGGATGGCCCTTAAAGGGCTAGTAGCAGCAATATAAAATACCACATGCCCAAATAGTGCATTCAAAAGTACAGATTCACCAGGGGCCATAGTCAGCAGGTAGGAGGCAGGCAGCCAGGCCTCTCTAATGTCCAGTGGCGAGGCGGCTTTCGCCACAAGGGTCAGTACAGGAAAAGCATACTGAGGTCAGAGGGTCAGTCCAGGAATAGCATACTGAGGTTAGAGGGTCAGCACAAGAAAAACATACTGAAGTCAGAGGGTCAGTACAGGAATAGCAATCTAAGGTCAGAGGGTCAGTACAAGAATAGCATACTGAGGTCAGATGGTCAGTACAGGAATAGCATACTGAGGTCAGAGGGTCAGTCCAGGAATAGCATACTGAGGTAAGAGGGTCAGTATAGGAATAGCATACTGAGGTCAGAGGGTCAGTCCAGAAATACATACTGAGGTCAGTGGGTCAGCACAGGATAGCATACTGAGGTCAGAGGGTCAGTACAGGAATACATACTGAGGTCAGAGGGTCAGTACAGGAATAGCATACTGAGGCAGAGGGTCAGTCCAAAAATAGCATACTGCGGTTAGAGGATCAGTACAGGAATCGCATACTGAGGTTAGAGGGTGTAACGGAGCTCCCTGTACTCTTGCCGAGTACCCTCCGTTGACGGATGCTCCTAGCGCTTCCCGAGGACTCCAAGCGATGCAGCAGACACCACAACCACGGCAGACTCCGCAACCGCCGTATCTGGACTGGAGTCTCGCTGTCTTCCTTCCACCCTGGATCAGCTTCTGTCCTCTAGGACTGTGTAGGAAAGAACTCTTCCTTCCACCCTGTATGAACCTCCAGCATCCAGGACTGTGTGGTGAAGACCCCTCCTCCAAGGAGAGCGTGTCAGGAACAAGCTCTTAAAAGAGCTAAGTGACTCAAGCTCAGGGGAGCATGCAGAGCATAGCAATCCCCAGTGTGATTATAACAGGTCCCTCCAATAACGAGACAAGGCTACGTTTAGAGGGATCAAGAAGAACTGTCAAAACCTTTATTTCCCTTGGGACCAGCCAATAGGGTCACCACAATAACATTGTTGTGAAACCTCAATAAAATCACAAACAGTCAAACCATATCAAGCAACACACAGTGACTTATCACAACACAATGGCACATTTTTAAAGGGGTGGGGGGAGACAATATTTAACAGTAAATATCTCACCTGCCTGCAGAATTAGCAATATGCAAATCTACCCGAATATGCAAATAAACCAGTCTTGCAATTCAGGTAGTGCATATTGCTGTTGCTACCAACAGAGGGCACTAGACAAGCTCCATAGCCAAACCCACCTAGTTGGTAGCAAACCTCAGCAGTACAGGAGAGAAGGCAATACATTTCACAGTACACACACACACTATAAACAATTACATTACACACACCCTGCACCTATAATGGGTACAGGGTGACTAAAACATAAGATAAATAAAGCAGCCTACATAAATAGTCTGTCTGAAGGTAGAATAGGGGCTTTAAAGCCAAATACATCAAAGAGTCATAGTCACAGGGGAGGAGGCTGGCAAGCAGGCCTCTCCAGTACCAAGTGGCGAAGGGCACTTCATCACAGAGGGTCAGAACAGGAATCGCATACTGAGGTTAGAGGGTCAGTACAGAATCGCATACTGTAGTCAGAGGGTCAGTACAGGAATAGCATACTGCGGTTAGAGGGTCAGTACAGGAATCGCATACTGAGGTTAGAGGGTCAGTACAGGAATAGCATACTGAGGTTAGAGGGTCAGTACAGGAATCGCATACTGTAGTCAGAGGGTCAGTACAGGAATAGCATACTGAGGTCAGAGGGTCAGTACAGGAATACATACTGAGGTCAGAGGGTCAGCCCAGGAATAGCATACTGCAGTTAGAGAGTCAGTACAGGAATCGCATACTGAGGTTAGAGGGTGATGAAAGATTTTTAAGAAACCACACATTTTTTGAAATTTGATTCCCAAAATCTGTTACGCATCTACAACTGCCAAAAAACACCCATGCTAAATAGTTTCTAAATTTTGTCCTGAGTTTAGGAATACCCAATGAAGGTGATTTTTTTGAGACACATAGCAATTTAAGAATATATGTTCTGAGAACGTTAAGGGTTACTGCCAAAGAACACCCCAATATGTGTTCAGCAACATCTCCTGAGTACTGGGATACCACCCATGTATAGGTGTGTCAGGTTCTCTGGGGGCTAAAAGACCTTATTTGGAGGGTGCGCATTCCAGTTTTCCAACTTGGAATTTTCACAACTGGACATCATGTACCCATGTCCTATTTGGGACATTTTTGAAGCCAGCCAATGTGGTTTACCCCCATCAAACCATATATTTCTGAAAAGCAGACACCCTAGGGTAATTCAAATGGTGGTGTTTAAACACTTTCCATGCACTAATTTTACCACCAGTCTTTGTCAAACGTTTGGGTAGTCATATTTTTGTGTTATTTTTCTCTCACATTGTACTTTAGGCATGGATTCTCAGTTCCTGTTATGTGTTACTGACAAAGAACACCCAATATGTATTCAACAACATCTCCCGAGCACAACAGTGCCCCAATGTACAGGTTTTATCGGCTTTTGCAAACTTGCAGGGGTCAAATGTAGGGCTTTCTCCTTTTCCATGTTTGCACATTGAAATTTGCCAGATTGGTTTGTAGCCATGTAGCCATGTTATCTGAGTAGCACCTGACCGCGTGGCCAGACCAATGTGGTCCCCAAGCAATGGCTGCTGCCACGATTGGGTACAACTCGAATAAAGCCGAGGTATCAGAGAATTTGGGTAGTGATTTGACATTGGTCGGCCAAGGACCCCAAAGCCATTGATCACCCCAGATGGCGGCAAAGCCTGTGTTAGCTGCGGCATCTGTCCACAGTATAGGTGAAGTGTCGGAGGGGGGTGGTATAAACATGGTTCGCCTGTTCCAAGAAGTGAGGAAAAAAAAAACACATGCATAAATCTGAGGTTGCGTGTACATCTAATGTGATATGTGAAGTTTCTGAGGAGAAAAGTGGAAACAAGGATAGCAGGTGGGAAATAAAAGATCTACCTTGGGGTATGATCCTCATGGCAAAATTGAGTGATCCAAGCAGTGATTGAAGTTCTTTGCGATTGCAATGACCTTGTAGCAGGTAATGTTCAATACTTGCCAGGGTATGCTCAATCTTGTCCTGAGGTAGACTAGCCTGCATGTGTATCGTGTCTAGTTGGATCCCCAAAAATTGCATGTTGGTATCTGGACCCAAAGTTTTGTGAGGAGAGACAGGAATATTGAGACATTCAACCAAAGCCAACAAGTGATTCAAACTACTGGGTGGAAGTGTGTTATTCTCAATCATGAGGAAATCGTCCAGATAGTGGATAACCGAAGGGCACTTGCACACATTTAGTAACAACCAACATAAAGCCTCTGCAAACGTGTCAAAAATACGTGGGCTGCTTTTGGAGCCAAAAGTTAGTCGAGTGAAGAAATAATACCTCCCCTGCCACTTAATGCCATGTAGATGCCATAGGGAAGGATGCATGGGTAGTAATTTAAAGGCGTTTACCACGTCGGTTTTACTCAGCCATGCTCCTGTGCCAGCTTGAAGAATGGCCCCTATGGCATGGTCGATAGTGGCGTAGTGTAGTGAAAATTCTTCGGAAGGTATTAGAGAGTTAAGGCTGGGGACAGTGGAGGAGTGTGGTGCAAATAAATCAATGATCAGTCTGGATTTGAGTGAGGTCTTCCCTGTGACCACCCCTATAGGATTGGTTCTCCAAGATGTGAAGGGTGGGGAAAAGAATGGTCCCAACAGAAACCCTTGTTTCACCTCGATCGAGATAAGAGTGTTTACCAACTGTGGATCGTCTAACGTGGATTGTAGGTTGTCGCATTCCAATGTACCGGAGGGTAAATGGACCAACCCGGTGTGAAAGCCTTCAGTCATGCCCAAAATAATATAGTCAGTGAAATGACATGAAGGATGTAGTTGTAAAAGTGAGGTCAATAATGTGATGTTCACACACGTGTGAAATATTTTGGGGAATGCTTTATTCGGGCACATAGTTTTGGCATGGGCCCTGAAACAGTGGGAACATACATGCATCAGCCTACAAGAGCTGAAACCACAATTCCCCGTATTAAAGTTATTGCAAACCTGGGATTTACCCAGTAATACAATGTCCCTACCCAGTTTGTCTTTCAATCCCCTGGCAGTTTAGGAAAGTTAGGGGTAGATTGATTTTGTTCGATTTCTGCTGTGTTTGGGCAGAAATTGTGTGATGTGCTGTAGATGCGCAAACTGCACAAGCTGGAGGCTTGAGGCCTGCAAAATGCCTGCAGAATAACTCAGTGTCCAATTTGCTCCAATTAATGCTTAAATTGAACTGAGCCAGAGCTGCAGCCACCTTTGCAGAAAGGTAACGGTGGTAATCGTAAAAAACATTACCACCGTATTTGTGCCCCAGGTCCACCATCTTGTGCATGTATGCACCCAGCTCTGCTCTTTTCCCTGGGTATACTGAGCAGTAAACATCCCTATTAAACCCAAAACCCAGTACAAATTCAAGGACTGACAATTTTTTGTTCAGCCTCGCGTCTCTTGCCCTTAGTACAACTGATATATCCCCATATGCAAATGTCCTATTCTCTAGGACATCCTGGGAGGCTATAAGCAATGGCACCAGGTTGACATCCTTGCCTTCCAGAATGTCCTTTTTAAGGAGATGGGACCATGTGCGAAGGATTAATAGCTTCACTAATTGATACTGATTACAATGAATTACCAGTTATGTCAGCAAGAGGGTGACTGGAAACAATTGGGTTTGTAGCGGTCTGTTTAGCACCACTTGCTTCAAATTTATCCATCCTATCATTAATTGTGCTGATGGATGACATAAGAGAAGTCATCATAGCGTGAAACGTTGGCAATTGTGTGCCACTAGGGCCTTCCCCTGCATCAGAGTTGTCAGTGGCTGTGTTTAAAAGTCTAAACAAC